TAGTTTAGAGAAGGCACAGAAATCCTTTCAGACCCTTTACAAGCACCCTCTGTAGATGTGTCAAACATCCTTCCTGCAAGACAAGCCTTAACAGCATTCAAACCTTACCTGGGACCTCACAAACAGCAGTCAGCAGCACTAGGGTTCCCAGATGTGGAGGAAACAGCTGGAATTCCAATTTCTTCACTAGACAGCTGGAGATTTCCCCATAAAAGTCAACGCTGCTTTCAATCCCAACTTTTTGCTGTTCCAGCTGCATGTTGTGGATCCCTGGGGAATGCACTGGCTGAGGAATTCCTGGTAGCATGGCTTCATAAAGCAAAGTATATATCTGGTTTGTTTCTTATTGTCATGAGATTAAATCACATGCTGAGCTTTACTGTGGCTAACAACATAAGTGGAGAAGTAGAATCACACGAGAGATTCAATATGCCAGTGATACAGGAAAACCAAACTTTCAATACTATTCCAATTTCGAAGAACAGTATAAAACCTTTGGGGTGGTGGTAGCCCCAGCCAAAGCAGAGGGAGAGACTAAAGCAAAGATTTAAATGCTTCAGTCCAGGCTCTTTGGGGAAAGACAGCAGAGCCTGTGCTTTGCTCCTTTTCATCAGCTCTGTCACTTTTGGTTTAAAAGGTACAAATGCTTTGTTATACACTAGGGTAAAAAAAAAAATGAAGTGGTTTGCCCAATAAAATGAGTACTCTTCCTTATCACACACTTACACCAATCCATGGAAAGGTTGTATATTCTAAACATATCGTTTGTCAACAGCTTGTATATCAGGTTTGTTTTTTAAAGTAGTAACATTAGTCATTAATTGTTTTAAACTTAACAAGTGAACACTCAAACAGGAAATATGATACATAAACAGGAACAAAGTCTTAACACAGCATTCAGTAAATACACCAAGGTCTGCCCAGACTGTTAGTAACCACCATCAAGTCCTAAACACAACTGTTAGTTGTGCAGTGTACCTACTCCCAGTGATGTTTGTACAGTTTGCTACTGAGCAATGGAAGACAATTTATTTTTCCCCCCACTACCCATTAGCAGCAATGACTTTAAATTTAGCCTCCTTGCTCTCCAAATTTTTAGGGTCCAAAAACTTACTGCAATTTTTGGTTGCATGTTACTCTCATGACTGAAACCAAATGCTTCCAGTTCTCATTTGTGCCACGAATATTCAAAGATATCTCCCTTATTCAACTTCTATTAGTAGTCAATGCACACCAAGCAAATTCAGCTGCAAAATGTGACCTCTATTTCATCCATTCTTGAGTCTTAGTCAGTACATGAACTTGAGGAGGAAAGGTAAATGTTTCAGAAAACCCTGAAGTGGCTTCACTGGAATCTGAGCAGGGAAAACCCAACAACCAGGTTGTTCCTCCTTCTGAAACCAGCTCCAGAGTGAGTTCTAGGCTCATGTGAAAATCACATTACAATTCATGAGGCATCAGAACTCCTGTCTGAGGGGCCCAATGTGAGTATCAAACACATAACCAGAATCATGTGCACCGGAGGGAGAAGGAGCAAAAGAGACAGACAAACATTGAGAGAAAATGTGTAAAGTGGTATCATGTTATTAAAACATTACATTCGAAATAAACAACATAAACCAAAAAAAAAAAAAAAGGTTTTAACCAGATTTAACTTTTCTCTATTTTTAAATTTGAATTGACCCAAAGCAAAAACTTACAATGCAAAAGGAAGAACAAAATACACAATGATCTTGGTAACACAGTGTTGCAAGGAAGCAAGGCCTGTGGGCAGGCTGCAAGTTGCTCTTGACATATTTCACTGAGAAAGTTAAGATCCAAATTATTTCATCCAGCTCAGGTCCACCCTGGTAAACATGCTGCATATTCCCTTTTGCCTCTGGGTATTTATCTGATGAATTTGTCCAGATGTGTTCTCCTATGATTGCCAACTAGAGCCAGAAAACTGGATTTTCCACGCTATCTCAAGGAAGCCAGAGTTATTCCAAGCATGAGTGATAATGAATTTTAAAATAAAAACAAACCCAAAACAAAACAAAAAAACACTCAAGAGCTTTTCAAACTAACAAGTATTGTCTATAATGTAAATATTTTAGAAATATGGTAATTAAATAATCTAAAAAACACTCTTACTCTGCTGTACATTTATAAACATAAATATTTACAAAAACTTTCCGCTTTGTTTTAAAGGATGAGGTTTGCAGTTTGTTAGTGATCAGAGTCTTTTACTCATATTGATTCTTTGGTGTATTTGCCAATTTTTTAAGGTTTATTAAAAGTGTTCAACTGTGAATTTTAAGGTAATGGAACTAGGCTACATAACAAGTCTGTATTATGCACTTCTCCTTCCACATTCTAGTCCAAACAAAAACCAAAGTTCAGTTTGCTCTTCAAAGTATTTGTGCACAATTTAAAAAATAAGAACTAAAAAAAAAAAGACCAGATTCCCCATTGTTGAAATTTGGGTAGGATGAAAAATTAATGAATAATGATACTTCACTTGCACTCGGGCACACGTATCACTTAAGGTAGTGATGGGACCATCAGTAGGTTCAGACAGACATGTGCGCTGAGGCGCTTTGCTGAACCCACCTCAGAGAAACCAGCTACAAGAGATGGCTCAGCATGGTAAGAAAAGGTGAGGACTTCCCTCCACCTTGAGGAAGGCAGAGAAGACAGAATGAAAATTAATTTAAAAGAAAGCCTTTTCACTGGCCTGAAATGTATCTGTGTTCCCTTTAGATGTCAGTTACGTAACAGAAACAACCAAAAAACAAACCTCAAACAATAAATAATGGAATTACACATTTCTTCATTAAATAGCATTCTTGTTACCAACAGTCTTCCATAGTTTTCTTCAGTCACAGCAACAGACAAAACAAATAAATTGCCTTAATAGAGATTGCAACTAAAATATACTCTAGATTACCTCAGAAAATATTACTGTAAAAATTCAGTGGGGAAGGACATTGGTTTAGACCAACTTACAAATGTAGTGAACAATACTAAGTACTTATTTTGTTTAGGAGGAAGCAATTTTAAGGTTCTGATATCACATCACAAAACTGAAGATTCATGCTTAAACCTGCCAGTCACTTCTGAACATCTGTCCTGTCTCAGTACTGCCTGAAGATCCAAAGGGCTGATCTTTCTTGCTTCAATAGGAGCCAACAGACACCACCACAGACAGGAGTTCACAGGCACACCCCACCCACGCTCTCGGGTTGTCCCTGCTACAATGCCACCACCACCACCTCCAAGCTGGAGGATGCACTATGAAGCTCTACTGCCAGGAGGTGACTACCCCAAAGACTGCAAGGTGTTAAGGCTGGACGTACTCGCTTGCTCACGCTGCTGAGACATGAACTTTTGGTCACTGCTCAAGCAGGCTGGATTTGAACCGATACAAGTTGGAGATAAAAAGGTTCAACATTCCATTGCCAACCCTCTGAGCCATGAATCTCCAAAACCACTTATTGTTTGGAAACCTGATGCAGTGCCAGGCACAATAGGGAGAGATAATCCTCCTCACTTGCGCTAGTTCCGGTGCATCCATTAGCAGTGACAAGGTTTGTGCTCAAGGAACTGCAGTCCAGGGTTATAAGATACTAAAAGGGACAAGCACAGTAACATGAGTACACCTGCTTCACCTTGCTTTTCCTATTTTTAATCTTAAATATTTTCAAAGTGACAGTGTTAAACTTAAAAGCCACTACCATTCCTTTCATCTTCCCATTTCCATTGGTATAACTGGTACAAAACCACTCCTGATATTAGAGGGGCTCTTCCAGAGCCAGTAGGATGGAAAAACAAAAGTAGAGACATTGGCAAGAACCTTACGATGACTCAGTAATCCCTTGAAAATAAAGAGAATGAAACAATTGCACATTTTGGCCCAATCTTTTTTTGATAGCGACAACTTCCTTTTTTTTTTTTCCTTTTATAATCAGAAACAAAACTCTTTTAACAGGCCTTTTTGAATAACACAATCAGCAGTCCAATTTCAGTACTCCTTTCAGTTGATGCTTTCACATTAATTGGAAACCACTTGATGTTTGCAAGATTTAAACTTGAAATATGAATGGGGCTTTTCTTTTTGGTGCACATATAAAATGCATCTTAACTTCTGTGCACTTCTCACTAAGTAGGAACAATTGGATTTTCAGAACAACTAAAACAAACCAAATCCATCACTGCCTTTAAAATGAAAGGGTTTGGCCAATTATTTTTTTCTTCATAAATGGACACAGTTCGGCTGAGAACCTGTAGATAAGATTTAAACTGAAAGTGAAATAAAGCAGGTTATACATTCATGAAGTTGGGGAGGAAAAATGAACAGGAACTGCTGCACCGCTTTAGTGATGCCACATCACTCCTTCAGTGAGGCAGCAGCTCCTGTTCTCACAAATAATGCACTGAGGCTAAATGAGGAATAGTGTGTGTGGGGGGGGAATCACACATAAAGGGAAAATATATCAGAAAGATTATTGCATAGGAGGCACTGTATGAGAAACAGAATACATTGGCTTAAAAAAAAATATCTAAATTTTGGTTGCACTCAATGTAAAAAATACAGAGCCTGTGCCCCTTTGTAGTGTACTGCCACTGTTAAAAATAGACTTACAAATAGCCACCCATTGAACAGGGAATGTCAGAAAAGAAGAGGGCCTGAATTTTATGGGCATCCCAACTGCAGGAATTAGGAAAATAATATAAAAGCAGCCAATGTATCAACCCTCAAATTCAACAGGGTAACTGCATTTTTTTTTTTTCTTGAATTCCCAAATTCTATCCATACAGTACCCTAGGACATGTCGATTACCAACTCTGCCCTCCATCCTCAAAAAACATACACCCTGGCAGAGACAAGGGCCCCAACAGACCACAGGGCTCTGAAGGTCTTTCTATTGGTATCCTCTTGCAGGACTGGTGCCTTGATTTCCAAACTTCATTTCTTTGAGCTCAGCATGCCAATTCAAACCAAGCACTTCCCTTGGGAGGCTACTTTCCATCTCCACTGCAAGTCTGCACACTTAATGTGAAAACAAACAAATGAAAAACCAACAGCATTTTAAAAAATGTAATATTGTATAGAAAGCTTGGACCTTGTAAACTTGGACCAAGAAACCAAAAATTAAGACCTTCTAGCATGTGGTATAAAAAACCCAAGGAAGTGTATACCTGCCTTCTGACTTCACAGAAAAATCAGAATTTGCATAGGATATACTTTGTGCAAGGCAACAAGCCTCTTCAGTATCTGGAATAGAACTAATCTTGCTCAGAGTTCTTCTCTTCATGGATATCAGATATCATCAAATTTGTGTTTTAAGTAGTCTTTCATGACCTTGGCAATGGGTAGTTCATCAAGTAGTTTTAGGTTTTGAAGGCCTATACACTGACGGATTTTAATTCGGCATAGATCTTGCAAGTTTCTGGGCTGTCCTGAAAAGACAAAAGGAACACATAAAAGTAAAATTATAATATTTTAACACATCTTAAGAGATTATTTAGTCATTAAAATCACAGATGTTTGCTGGTCTTTTATGAGGCAGAGGGAAGGGAAAAATTGCAAGAGAAAAAAGGCGGAAGTTAATACCTTTCTAATGCACAATAATTCACTGAAATCAAGGGATGAATCCTACAAATATTTTTACACACATGTAACTTTACTGAAGTCAGTGTAATGTGACATTGGCCATGGAAGGATTCCCACGAGGTGGCAACATACACTTAAGCCCTGTAGAACAGCATAGCTCCTACATTTAATATTTTGTGCATTTTTTTCTTTGTTTGTAACACCTGGGAGAAAAATCTTGCTTCTTTTCAAACACCAAGACAAAAACTTCTATACTCAACTGTAACAGAACAAGGCAGGCTCCTTAGAGGAAGGTTTTATAGAAGTGATTCCAGAATCACATGGTAGAGTTAAATATTTTTTTTTCCTTCTAATGAAAAGATGAAGCCTTTAGGCTTTGGATGCAGTCACAATCTTGTCAAACAATGAGATGAAAAGATGAGTTAACCACTGCCCAGAGAGGAAAAGCTTTATGGACATCACACGAACTTCAATATTTCCAGCACGGATTTTCCAAAAGAATCAATTCCTTTTCAAACTCATTCTTAAAAGCAAACTATTCAAACTCAAACACCTTGAAAAACAGCTCCCCGTGCAACATAAGGTAAGAAAAGTTCATCTAGCCTTGTATCCAAAGTACTCAGCAAGGGATCCCAAGAAGAAAGAAAGGAAAAAAGAGCAGAACAACAGACATTGAGAAATCCTGTCCCAATATACCCTTCTAGCTTTCACCACTGGTGCCTTTGGGCCTTCCTAAACCAGAGATTGCCCAGAGAGCTCTGTCTTTAAGAGCTGTGAATGGCCTGTTCTTTGTAAATCTGTCTAATGTTTTTTGAACCCATTCATGCTTTCAGTATCCAAAACATCCTGTGGCAACAAATTTCACAATATATTAAGGCGTTGGCTGGAAAACTACAAAGTGCTTTTGTTTATTTTAGATCTGCTTCCTGATCACTTCATTGAGTGCCTACCATTCTTTTGAGTTATAAAAAAAACCCCAACAAATAATTGTTCTCACGCCAGTCATGATTTTACATACCTTTGTATTAATCTCCATCCTCCACTCATTCTGATACCTCTTTCCCAAGCTGAAGACTCCACTTAATAACTTCCCACCACAGGAACTACTCCAAACCTCTGATGAAACCAGCTGCCTGCCTTTGTGCTTCTTCCTCATTCTGCTCTATCTTTTAAAAAATCATCCCAGTAACACATTGAAACTGTGCTATTCAATATTTCCAGCATGGATTTAACAATATAATTGCCTAAATAAATAAATAATAAAAAAGGAAAAATAAAAAGTGAAGATGCCTACACAGCGATGGCCCCCAGTGGTTGGCTGAGTCAAAATACACACACCCATGAACAATGTAGGTGCTTATGCCTGTATCAAGATAATCTGTTGCCAAGGGAGCAATTTACTGCAGTCTTTTATCATCTGTATAATAATTGATGGTAAAAGCCAGTGCTTGATTTTGCAAAGGAAGGTGTGGTGCTTTTATTGAGCTGACTGCTTGAATCAATCTTTTCTTCTAAATGCAGTACAAAACACAAATGAGACTTTAAATAACTTAGACGGACATTTCCAATTAGCTTTCCTGAGCTGCCACCGATTAAGCAGGACATTTTTGGAGAAGGATATGCCTTCTGTGTGGGGCTTGATGCAGGGAGGCTTTAGGGTGGACAGTTGGACACTGTCAGCTCACATGCACCAAACTCACAGGAGGGTTTGTCTCACCTGAGCCAGCCCCAGAGCTGGCTTCAGAGCCCATCCCTTCTTCCATCCTCCTCCTAGTTCAGCAATAAACCTCCTAACAGCTAAGCAGACATTAACATTATGAGTTTATTAGACTTTCCTGGTCAGCAGAGGGTAAAGAGATTATATAATTATTACCTGTTTTCTACTTTGGGCATTTTGGAAATGGTTGAAGTTACCTTTTAAAGCCAGTTCCTCCTTTCCCCCCCATGTGAGTTTTTCTATAGAAATGGGCTGACAGACAGGTATACACTGGGATTTATCTTAAACACTAAAATTATCCGAGGTAAGCCAGCAGAAGTAATGCATGAAAATAGCCTGTTTTTAAAAAAAATGAGATTTGAAATTAAAGAACATGAAAATTTGAGTTTCCTTCATATAAGTTTAAAACACTTTTATTATACTTATCACCACAGTGTCTAAACGTCAACTTATTTTTAATTATAGCCTTCAGCAATGACTTAAAGAGTACAGATTATTTGTTACTTTGCCCACTGATGGTTTCTTCTTTTTTAACCTGTACGAATGAATTTATACAACTCTGACAACAGCTGAATGATCAGGCTTCAGGGAAAGAAAAGTTACTTTTGGTAAGAAACAGAGGAATCTTTATGGTGATAAAGAAATAATACTAAAATGCTTTAAATGTGAATGCAAACAGGGTTCAGAAAGAATGCACCTTTTCAAAAGTTAACTGCAAACAGCAGGGTTGGAGGGTGTAGAGGACTACAGGTCTGGATGTGTATTTTCTGTAATAGAGCAGACAATAATACACCTATGAGACACTGATTTCCGTTTTCAGAAATTAATGCCTTTTAATTAACATCCTATGGGTTTTTTTTGAGAATAAAATGAACAGACAACTTAAAACACCCAAGAGAAATTGGTCATCAGTTAATTAAAAAAGACCCGATTATCAAATGTATGACATTTTCCCCTGATAAGCCTAAAAATATTTCCTGGGAATGTGTTAACAATGGACATTTCCAGTGTTAAGCACCAGTTGCTACATCTAGTGGTTGTTAGTGTCTTAGGTCACGCCTCACAAATTCCAGGGTTATTAATGCATTTGTGATTTATTAGAAACGGTGTCTAGAACACTTACTCATTCTTGATTGCATCTGAATGAAAAAGAAAAAAAAATAAAGGATTACAGACCAATGTCAGTGAACCTTGGTTTGGCAAATGGAAAATGTTATTAGTAATTTGGCAAAGTAGGACAAGTTAAATGAGGAATAAAGTTCTGTTTAAAAACTATTAGGAAGTAGCAAATTTGGTTATATCCTGCACCACCAGTTTGGAGAATTATTTAGGCTAATAAGCTACAAAGGAAGAGAATTAAAAAATGAAAGAAAGAAAAAAGCCACAAACATAAAAGATAAGATTAACCTAATTACCACTATCATGCAAAACAGTGACATAAAACTACCGAGCACCTTAAAAAAAAAATATCTAAACATCCCTGAGTTGGTCTTAAAGGAATTTGTTGGTGACAGCAGGGCTGTTAGTCCAGAGCAGTCAGGTTATTGTCACACAACCCCGAGTTACCATCAGGGCAGCAAACACCTGCTGCTGCTGAGGAGATGAAGGTTTCCTAACGTTCACCAGAACAAGTCAGACACTTCAGTCAATTTATTTTGCAAGCTTTATCAAGATAATAAAATTATCTTTGCTATTCTTGTGCTCTGTACTGCAAAAGAAAGCTGAAATCCTCCTCAACACCTTTCTTGTTTATAGTTTCCCAAACATGAGAGAAGTTTCTTCCAAACAGAAGAAATATAAAACATAGGGTTATAAAATAAAGCAGAACTGCTTTTCATTTTTTTCCCCCTCTCTACAGGCAGCAGACATCAGTATGTATAAAATGTGAACATTTTCCTAACTCATGTTCTTAAACTGTTAAAAAATAAGTTCCTGAGCTTCTCCCCCCTTACGTAATTAATAATTATTTTACTTAAATAATTAAACAAGCTTTTAAAATTATTATTAATAGATTTTCTTTCCCTGGTAAAGCAAGGGAAAAAATATACATGTTTTAACAGGAAGAAATTATTACAATTCATCCTGAATTTCTACTCAACACTCCACTCCTCTCCTTTTTGCGGTTTCAAGATTTTTCTCCTATTCTATCTGGGAGTTTGCTGCTCTAGCCCAGAGACAGACAAAACTCACACATAGGATTTACTGCCTGTACAAAGAAGTGTCATCGTTACAACTGTTTTGATGCTTCTGCATTTAGGCCTGTGCCTGCCTGTTTTCTTATTCAGACCATGCTCCTCAAGAAATAAAACACTAACTCACCTAAGAAGTCTATACTTAAGGATCATTAAGATATGTATCACTAAATCTAGTACCTCTGAGAACACTGATTTTTGGGACTCTCACCTAGTTTTAAGCAGAAGTGTTGTAAAAGTAGGAAGGGGGAATCCTTACCAGTTTCTTCCACTGAAGAGACAAGAGCACCTGAGCAAAGCAAAAATCATGAACTGACCTGTTCTGTTAGAAGAGAAAATTTAGGAGTAACTGAAATTAATACTCTTGTAGGCTGCAAGATCCTCTCTGATGTATTGTTCTACCTACTAAAATAAAAAACACCCTAATTTTAAAAGCAAACAAACAGTGTCATTGGTTCAAAGTGGACAGGCAGTTTCTGAGGAAGTTAAAAAAAAAACCCCAACATATTTCAGAAGCCACCCCCAGTTTTCTCTGCAATATTAACATTTCTCTAGAAAAAAAAGCTTACAGTGGTATTTCTCAAACTGAGCCTCTGCCTCACTTGGGAATTGTGAAAGGCTGAAAACAGTAGCAGGAAACCATTTGGTAGTTTCTTTTTAGCTACAGAGGAAAATTAAAAAGAAAAGTTTTGTGAAATGCTTTTTTTAAAAAAAAAGCTGATCCCAGACTGACGTATGGCTGGCAGCAGCTCAGCTCCTCTAGAGTATCAGGACAAATATTTATATCTGCAGCTAACTACTAAATCCATCCCTTATTTCACAACTCTGAAGGAACTTGGCTACTGCCAGCAATTAAATTCAGTGCTGAGTTTGTTGGGTTTTTTTAGGAGGGAATTGAAATTAAAAAAAAGATAACTGAACTTTTCAACTCGCACCC